CTGGGGAATCCTGGGAGTTGAAGTCCACACGTCTTAAAGTGGCCAAGGTTGAGCAACACGGCCGTAGGAACTTGATGGGCTTCTGCAAGAAACTAAGGGCAAAATTTATTGTTTGTTTGCTAATTGCATTTTGAGGCTATTGTTATTATTATTATCACTCTGGATAAATTGCAATATTTAAAAAATAAGTAATTTGAAAAGGAACATGATCTATTGCTATAGCTTCCCCTCTTGATTGGAGTTTCTAGGATTTTTGTAATGGGTTCGGCAGCCTGGAAAAGTTTGAACACCCCTGGTATAAGGTGCCCACTGTTGCCAGAGCTACGTCTGGTGCTCCCGCGGGTGACCTCTCATGCTTTACTAAAAGTGAGATGCATGATAGGGCCAGCACAATGGGTCCAGAAAACATTCACATTGTTAGAAAGGGTATCTCCGTTCTGTTCTGCACAGGTGGTATTCTCATTTCAGAGGTTAGCTATGTATTTATTTATTTATTAAACAAATTTACACGGTCACCCAACTCACACACAGGGACTCTGGGCGGCTTACAGAATTAAAATCCATAATACGAAGAAATCAATAACCATTTGATCGGCTCCGTATCAGCCTGGGGTCTCCAGCCCCACTGATGAAACCACGTCTTCAGGGCCTTCCAGAAAAGTATCAGGGTGGGGGCCAGTTTTATCTCAGTAAATAGGAAGGGGGGCCACCACAGAGAAGGCCCTTTTTCTCTGTCCCACTAGATGGACCTCCCTCATTGAAGGAACCGACAACATACCCAGCCTCTCTGCTCTGGTGGGCCAGGTCGATGTAACTCGGGTAACTTTATTCTTCAAATCAAGTTATAGCTTCCTAGATCCGCTTCTCTACTTTTGATCAAGCCACATGTTAAGTACTTCTCTTTATATCATGAGAACTAGAAACCTGACTGGACTTTTTAAGTGAAACCTAGGTTTCTAGTTTCCGATGCTATACTTTTCCTGAAGGATTCTGCTTCAAGGACACCCTGTTTGCATTTCAAAGCTCAGTTTTAACTACATTGCGCCCACATGTTCCTCCAGCTGCATACTATTCAAGTACTTTTCTGCCACCGCCGTTGGAAAATTATTAGTTCCATCAGGGCAGCTTTTAATCAAAGAAGAGCATTTCCAATATTGTGGCAAGGACAGTATTTTAATAATCGTCATTCCACAACCCCCACTACCGTGGGAGGGAAGAGCGTTTGAAAGCCGTAGCAGCGAGTCCCTGCTAAGAGCAATATCGGAGGATCTTCGTAAGAAATTCGGTGGTGCAATTCATTCCTTGCCTCTTTTATTAAATCTGCAGAGTTTTCCATCCTGACCTAGCCCTACAGGGGAGCCAGAACCCACAAACAAGAAAACAACGTGAGAATTAACTGCTTTCATAGCCACCGGAAGCAAGAAACTCACATCTAAGCAAATTCGGAAAAGGAGAAGGAAAAGATAAATCAATGACTCTCATTGGGGTAATACTGTCTCCGTGGAAGTAGCCACTATGATGGGAATGCTACCTTTTAACCCCTATTTATTTATTTACTGTTATTTTTGCACCTATCAGATGTTCGATGTACAAGAAGTCGATTACATATATTTACATTAAAATATAGTATAAAAAAACTAAGACTTTCAGAAGAAGGTCAAAACTCTTCTCAAAACCACCCTAAAATGTTTAGTTAAGATTATGTAGCTCAACAGACATAAAGGAGTGCCTTCAGCTCAGTAACAGAGTCCAAAGTTGTACATCCAAAATCACTCCTGAGTCTGATGACGGGGAGGAGAGTGGGTTTTTATTTTATTCACTTTAACTACTTATACGCACTTACCCCTACCTGGTTCTAAGGCGCTAGAAAAGAATGAAGTAGACAGATTAAACATACAAATTTTTAATTATATTGGGGGGGGGGTGCCTTCAAGTCAGTCTTGACTCCTGGTGACTACCTGCAGTTTTCTTGGCAAGATTTTCAGAAGCCTACTTCTTCTTCTCAGGCTGAGAGAGAGGGACTGGCCCAAAGTCACCCAGATGGTTTTCATGCTCAAAGATGGGCTAGAACCCATGGATTCCTGGTTTCTAGTCCAGCACCTTCACCCCTAGACCAAACTGGCTGTCAACACATGGACAGGTCCCTGCAGTTTTCTAGGCAGGATTTTTGGAAGTGGTTTGCCCTTGACTACTTCTTCTTCCCAGAGCTGAGAGAGAGGCCGGCCCAAGGTCACCCAACCAGCTCTGGGCCTAAGGCAGGACTAGAACTCACCATCTCCTGGCTTCTAGCCTGGTGCCTTTACCACTAGGCCAAACTGGTTCTCAAACACACATGACCAAGCATGATTTCATCATAAGACTTATGCGTGAAGCCTATCACAGGCACCCTTTTGGCCGCCCAGTCCACAGCCCGACTCAATGCAAGAATCCAAATTAAAGCATCCTTGAGAGATGGACCTCCAGCTTCTGCCTGAACATCTCCAGCAAAGGGGAGCCCCCTCTCTTTGGGCCCTTGGTCCCCCGCTCCAACCACTCTCACGGCTAGGAAGGGTTTCTGAAGCATTTCATTGGCATCTGCCTTCCTGTAAACCCACGATGTCCCGCCTTGTCTTGGGATGACAGAGAGCAGATCTTGGCTCACCTGAATCTACCCATCCAGGATCAGATAAAATGGGGGCTCCAGAGGAAGAAAGGGACGCAGTTCAGACACAGCTTTGCAGAATTCCAGAGTTGGAAGGAGCCTTTGAGGACATCAAGTCCACCCCCTGCTCAGTGCAGGAATCCAAACTGAAGCATCTTCGACAGACGGCTGCCCAGCCCCTGCTCAAACACCTTCAACAGAGGGGAGCCCACCATCGCTCTTCAGTCATTGGCCTTGCTACTCTGGCCATTTGCTAGCCTTTTTTAAACATTCCTGTGTAATCTACCTTCTGTAACTTAGGACAGTGTTCCTCAAACCTGGCAACTTTAAGACATGTGGACTTCAACTCCCAGAATTCCCCAGCCAGGTTGAATTCTGGGAGTTGGTCCACATGTCTTAAAGTGGCCAAGTCTGAGAAACACTGTCTTAGGACATTAGTTTCTGTCCTGCACATGCAGAGAATATAGGCTGGGACTTACTCATTTACTGAATTGATTAAATATTAAATATTAATTAGCCCCTGGGTTTTCCCCCTTTCTAATTCTAGCTGTGCTCATTTGGTCTGCTCAAGATGGAATTTTCCTTTTCAGGCCAGGATAAGAAAAGCAGAAATGGCTTCAAGACTCAGCCCATGGATTTTGCATCCTCAGCTGTGCATTTAAAACGGAATAAAGGCCAAGAAAGCTGTGTGTGTGTGTAAAACAAAGCTTTAAAAAGGAATAGCTACCATTCCTGATGCTAAATTCTCCATTGCTGGATTCAAACCTGGTCAGAAAAGGAGGATGGTAGGGCTGGAGTTTAAATGGCTTGAAGAAGAAACGAGGGTTTATTAAGAAGAAACGAGGGTTTATTAAGAAGGAATAAGGGTTTATTAAGAAGAAACTAGGGTATATTAAGAAGGAATAAGGGTTTATTAAGAAGAAACGAGGGTTTATTAAGAAGAAATAAGGGTTTATTAAGAAGAAACTAGGGTATATTAAGAA